GAACCCGTAGGGTCTACACACTTAAGGTTCGGTTACGCTAGGGTTGTAGGGATATGTATATGCAGTAACCCGAATGTTGTTCGGAGTCCCGGATGAGATCCCGGACGTCACGAGGAGTTCCGGAATGGTCCGGAGGTAAAGATTTATATATGGGAAGTCCTGTTTCGGGCATCGGGACAAGTTTCGGGGTTATCGGTATTGTACCGGGACCACCGGAAGGGTCCCGGGGGTCCACTGGGTGGGTCCACCTGTCCCGGGGGGCCACATGGGCTGTAAGGGGGTGCGCCTTAGCCTAATGGGCCAAGGGCACCAGCCCCACATAGGCCCATGCGCCTAGGGTTTAAGGGGGGAAGAGTCCTAGGAGGGTAAGGCACCTCCTAGGTGCCTTGGGGGGGAGGGAAACCCCCCTAGGCCGCCGCACCCCCTAGGAGATTGGATCTCCTAGGGCCGGCCACCCCCCCTTGGCACCCCTATATATAGTGGGGGGAGAGGAGGGACTTCATACCTGAACGCCTCGGCCTTTGGTTGCCTCCTTCTCCCTCCCCAACACCTCCTCCACCTCCATAGTGCTTAGCGAAGCTCTGCCGGAGTACTGCAGCTCCATCAACACCACGCCGTCGTGCTGCTGCTGGTGCCATCTCCCTCAACCTCTCCTCCCTCCCTTGCTGGATCAAGAAGGAGGAGACGTGGCTGTTTCGTACGTGTGTTGAACGCGGAGGTGCCGTCCGTTCGGCGCTGGTCATCGGTGATTTGGATCACGTCGAGTACGACTACATCATCACCGTTCTTTTGAACGCTTCCGCTCGCGATCTACAAAGGTATGTAGATGCATCTAATCACTCGTTGCTAGATGAACTCCTAGATGATCTTGGTGAAACGAGTAGGAAAATTTTTGTTTTCTGCAACGTTCCCCAACACGCCGCGCCCTGGAGGAGATCGCCGAACACCGCCGCCGTGAAGCAGCGCGCCGGGCGAGGGGTCGAGCAGCGGCGCCGGCCGTGTCAAGGAGGAGAAGCAGGAGGACGACGCCGGCGACGACTACACCCTGCTCAGCGCCTACTTCGGCCCGTAGTTTATGGTTTTTTCCGTCTATTTTATTCGTGTAAAAAACGTCTAAATTTCGTCGAAATATGTCGTGTTTGTTGAAATTTGGCCGTGTTTGCTGAAATTTGGCCGAACTATGGGGACGTCTGGGACCCGACCTGGGGGCGACGGCTGGGGACGTGCTCGCCCCCACGCCGAAAAAAACGCTGGCTCGCCCCCAAACGGCGATTTTCAGCACGTCTTGGCGGCGCAACGGCTGGAGATGCTTTTAGAGAGAGGAGACAGAGAAGGACGCCTCGACCAACACAGTGTTACCAGGGTTTCCTCACCTTTGTCGGATACTCGCAGGGGGAGGGGTGGTGGAAACGACGGGACCTTGTTTTGCATGTGTCCAATAGTCTAGGCTAGGTTTGTGTCTCACCCGGCGGTGTTTGGATGGTGATGGCATCGGCTGTCGGAATTAAATCTCCCTGGTCTGGCACCCTGATTGGTTCGAAGGGATCCTGAGGGGATTTCAGCCTTTAACCCGGTTGGGCAAACCACGGGCTAAGTTGCACCTGGGGAAGTAAACAAACCCATTTGGTAGGATGTGAGGGGAGAAGATCCTTGGCCTTTCCACGGCCTATCCCCGGGTCAGATATCCCGGTGTCGACAGGTCAGGGAGAAAATCCTCCCCTCGTTCGCCTGTGACTCTCCTTGTGACTGAGCTGATGGCCTCCGCCTTCTCCAGCCTCCGTGCTTTGTCATCCAACCAACTTTCCTCAGCATGAAGCTTTCTAGCATTTTTTTCGGGACGTGATCTGATCTTCTCCCCTCTCCCCTATTTTGTCCAAACCAACGTGCTGGTATCCCTGTGGTGGGAGGAGAGGATCCCCTACGTCCATGGAAATCCCTTCGTGGGGGATTAGAGCCCTGGGTTACCTCACCCTTGAAACCAAATTAGGCCCACTCTTGAAATCAAATTAGGCCTGAGTGGTGAGGTTGAGGCTGTGAGGGCTGTCTTAGAGGATTTGGTTTACCTTGATGCTACCAACAAGATGACGCCGACAAAGTCTAGGGTTTTTGTTCTCAGGCTTGTACCCTGCTTCAACGATGACTGCACCACTTCGGGTTGACTTCTCCTCGCGCTAGTCCGGCTGAACCATAGCCTCGATGACTTCCCAGCCACAGGCAACAAATCTAGGTTTGCTTCAATAGTGGAGTGGCACTGTCAACGCGCCATCAGTGGAGGTGGAAGACCGTCCGATATCCTCAAAGACCTACATATAATTTCTACTTCGCAAGAAGATTCGTTTTTGGGAGGATTAGTGGTTTGGGAATGCACCACTATCCGCTCAATTCTGGGATTTATATTCTTTGGCTAATGAGCACAACATTTCTATTTATAGAATCTGGGATGGAATTGATCTTAAGATCAATTTTAGGAGGTGTCTGAGGGGTGATCAAATCTCTGACTGGATGGACCTTGTCTCCATTGCTGGTACTATTACTTTTAAAGATTGCGAGGATACTCCAGTCTGGAAGTATAGTGCAAATGGGCAATACTCGGTTAAATCCTTTTACAACATTGTAAACTTTAGAGGTATCTTCCCTGTCCATACACAGCATGTGTGGAAGCTGAAGATTGTCCCTAGAGTACAAATTTTTCTTTGGTTAGTCTATAATAATAAGATCTTAACCAGGGACAATCTTGATAAGAGGCAGCATGTCCCAGACATGATCTGCGTGTTTTGCTCTGAAGCAGAATCTTGCCACCATCTATTTTTTGATTGTGTAGTGTCAATTGAACTCTGGAGAGCTATTGCGGACATATCAGGAGTTGGCAAGATCTCTAATATTGAGAATCTTGCGACCTGGTGGGTGTCCAATAAGAAACACGCAGTGGTGAATGCTTTACATGCAGCTGTGATGTGGGCTCTCTGGAAGATCAGGAATGACCTGTGTTTCAATCGATCTGTATGGTGTGGTATGCAGAAAATCTGGAGACAGGTGGCCTTGGAGCTAGCAGCGTGGGAGGTCCTGTTCTCAAGCGATGCAAGAACACAGGTCTCTGCTATGGTGAAAAAACTCGAGAAGCTGGCCAGAGATCCTCCTATGCTGATGTGGCCAGACCCCGGTTGATCCTTTCAAGCTGCACAGGGGGGCGGGACTGATGAGTAAAAAAGAAGAAAGAAGATTGAAAAATGCTGCTGTTACTCTCTTTCTGTCTGTTTGAAGAGTAGACTAGATGAAGATCCCTCTGTGTACCTTTTATATTTTACTTTCTATTCAGTAGACTTGAGCTTGATGTTAGCTGTTTAGCCTGGTGCAGTTTAGTCCCAGGTAGCTTCTATCTTGTGCTGAGACAGCTGTATTGCTGTGCTCCGCCGGCTGTATTGGTGAATGCTTGTCACACTGGTTTCGTTGCTTGCAATGGAATCGGGGCTGCGTGCCCTTTTGCTCTAAAAAAAAATTTCTACTTCTTTGGAGAGGGGGGTGGGGGTGTTTATGTGTGCTTTGTGATGCTAGATTTTGAGTAATGGTATGGTGACTTTTTCCCAAAATAATACAATTAGTTCCACCATAAATCAAAACCTTACGCCCCACTCAACAGGTTAACAATCAATTAGTGGCACCGGTTGGTTGGAGTTTTGACCAAATCTCCCTGCTGAACATTTCAAAAAGAGTCACCATGTTAAAAGGCTGTCCCTATATATGTTCAATTTCCACCTCGTCCCCTTGTCTGGTTACACGCTCGCTTCGCTCCGGCATCACCTCAATCACATCGATCATTGTGCTCCCAGTCAGCCATTACCCCTGGTACGGTACCCACTTCCTTCCGAGATTAGTGGACTTTCTGGATTTTGCTTCTTCTCCCTTTGTTTCTGTTGTTAGCGTTCTAGTTTGACTTGATGGTTTCGATGTTTTCAAATAGCACTCTAGTGTAAATAATATGTGATCCAGTGACTTGGCTCTGATAAAATTGTGGAATCGGAAGTGTCCACAATCCTAATTACTAATGTTCAGAGCTAATTGTTGGAAGCGACCGGTAATAAAGCTAAGAAAATACTAGCATCTAATAAATTCCTAATGTTTAAAGTTCATTTTCCGCTATCTATGTTCCAAAAGTTCTCACCAATTGCAATCAGGACCACCGCAAGCCGCCTTGTAGAGTTGCCTCCCTGACTATGATTAATCATGTAGTACTACAATTTCATTTGGTTCGAACATTAGCAATTTACATGCATGCCATGGAAATTTTAGAAATTGAGAGATAAATATGAAGACACCTTCTAATATATATGTTCTGTGTACTGTCCAAAAAATAATATATGTTTGGTTCCAACATTAGTAATTCACGTTTTGGTTTGGCTTGATAATTTTGATGTTGTGATTCTGATGGCACTTTTTGTTACAACAGTGGTAATTCACATGTCATGGATCTTCTAGAAACTAGGGAAAAACTAATTCGTCGTTCCATACAAGGCGTCATATATTTTGGACGAAAGCGGCGCACAACAACCCAAAAGCAAGATGTATTATTGAACATATAAATGAAATATGAAGAGACCTTCCAATATAATGTATGCTTTGTCTAGTGTCAAAAAGTAATACTCCCCCCGATCCATATTAATTGATGTTGCTTTAGTATAATTTTGTACTGACGTTGTACTAAAGGTGGGTGAATTAATATGAGTCGGACGGACTGACCAGAAATTTAACATGCCATTTTATTTGTAAGATTACTGCTCTTTGATACAAATATTGAAACCCATTCATTCAACCCTGTTCTTATTTTTCAGGTTGTTGTTTCTTTAGCATATATAAAAGTTAAACAAGAACATACACAGGAATTGAAACTTTCAACCTACCAGCCAATTAAAAAGTGATAAAATCAAAGTTTTTTCAAGATGTTTTCTGTTCTCCTTTAGCACAACAGACACTTAATTTGGTGACACCAATTTCAGAGAATTAATATGGCCTCGATGATACTGCTCGGCGCCGTTATAATCCTGTTGAACCTCGCATCTATGTCATTGGCGCAACCTAAGCACAGATGCAGAACACATTGCGGTGACATTGAGATTCCCTACCCATGTGGCATTGCTATTGGTTGTGCCATCGAACAAAGGTTCGAGGTCAACTGCAGCAGGACTGTTGATGGAATTGAGAGGCCATTCATTCATGAACAGGAGGTTCTAAACATCTCAGCATCCCGGGGTCAATCCAGAGTTTTAATGACCATCCCATCATATTGCTACAATTCTAGTACAGCAAAAATGGATTTGCGCCCTTGGGATTTTTACTTAGCATGGCCATATCGGTTCTTGGACGTGCAGAACAAGTCCATAAGCATTGGTTGCAACTCAATGGGATACATTTACACAGGCAAATCAAGGTATGTAGCAGGGTGTATATCGGTGTGTTGCAGCCCGGACGAACTGGCAAATGGCTCGTGCATCGGCATAGGCTGCTGCCAAAACACCATTACCATGGGATTAACAAGCTACCATGCCGTATTCTATGATGTCGACTACCTCAACAGTACGACTAGTTGGCACTTCAACCCATGCGGCTACTCCATGGTGGTGGAAGCGGAGAATTTTGTTTTCAACTCAGTATATAACCACGACAAGGTTCAATGATACCTAAAAAGGGCGGCAACCGGTGGTGCTTGACTGGGCAATTGGAAATGTAACATGTGAGGTGGCGAGCAGAAACATGTCTTCCTATGCATGTCGGACCGGAAACACTGTGTGCGTGAATTCACCCAATGGCTTAGGGTATCTATGCAATTGCTCTAGCGGATACCAAGGGAATCCTTACCTCTCCAATGGATG